CCGACTGGCCAAGAATCGAAGCCGTTGCTGGGTTGGGAGTATGCACTCAACCCACTTGCCCCCTATGTGGCCTAGAGGAGGAAATGGGGAAGACCCACCTGATTCGGTATCCAGCCCTAAAGACAACAACGCAAACCCAGAGATACTGGGAAGCCGGAAGACAGCTAATGAACCGTTATTAATTAACTGTTACATATGTACCCCCCCCCCCCATGGGGAAAGCTGAAGTCAACTAAGGGGCTAATGATAAATATCATAAAGCCTGCCATTTGAAATAATAATAATAATATTCAATTGACCCAAAGGACAGTTATTCGTTTTCGCAAGTCTAGTTCGAGATGGGTGTATGTCTTCTAGGTGACCGACAAGCATAGCTCAAGACCATAGAATTTATGCTTTGTCTCAAAATAAGCTATTCAAATTCTGCAGATAGTCTCCAAGTTGTACGCAAGTTTTTCCTCATTGAGATAGGGCACTCTGGTCCATGAATTATGACTCAGACAAACATGGGGAAACTGGGCCTTTGGCTAGATCAAGAGATATGCAAGGCCCATCTCAAGGTGTAGGGTTGTGTTCATCGAAGCAAGATGGTCGATTCTATTCACCTTTTGAATTTTTGGTATTCATCTTCATCATTTATTTCTCCAAGTTCCACAATGTCCTTCATTATATTGCACTTAATCCAATTACAATTCTTTCACTATTTAGTTGGAAGTAAACCAATCTTATCAAAGGAAGGGAAGAAGACTCTCTTAATGTTTCATGAAAATGTTTTATGCCTGAATGGAATAAAATGGAAATTTACTTCGCAAAAAATCGACCATACGGATGTGTGTCTAGCGGGTGTATTGTGCTTTCGAAATGACTCAGTCCGTATGGGGAGAGTCAATCTTCAGTACCAAATAGAGAAAAGCTGTTAGACCGCGTTTTAACTTTTAAACCTAAATAACCGCGGTCTATCGAAAAATCTAGGCATTTTGGTTGTATTTTCTATAATGGATACTTAGGGTGTCCGACAAAAGTTTTCCGATTTCTTTAAATTAGTTGGACAACATTTTCAATATTCAACAGAAAAATCACGAAGCACAAACTTGAAAAAACAAGAGCTCGTCCTTTAACAAACATTTATGACGAAAAATTATGAGTCTGTATTTCTTTGGTGAAAAAATGAGAACCGCATTTTTTCTAGAATATAATTTTAAGATGTTCTATGGAAATCTCTAAAAATTCTACGGCTATTAGTATGGGGGGATAAATGGGCAGACAAATAGAAAATAATAAATCATAATTGACATCAAGAACGTAAGGCAGAGTCATATTCGATATCTAACGAATTATATTTTTAATATTTATGACCAATGATCAGAAACCAACAATGGCCAAATGCAAAAAAGTTTTAAAGAAAATTGGGTTTTAATCATGGACATTTTTGATAACATTTGGTGCACCAATAAAATGAAATTCTGTGAGATACATAAGTAACTTAAGTTGTTTTATTATTTTAAATTATTATAAAAATATCTTGTTTAGAAGAATAAATTTCGCGCGCGATATTTCTTTTGGGGCGCTATTTACTTATATTTTGAGAATGGCCAATCGTACCGTCAAAGATGCACACACCCTTCATGGAACAAATCCTCAATATTTAATTGAAAAAATTATTCGTAGCCGTATTTACGAGTGCCAGTTCTGGAAAGAACACTGTTTCGCTTTAACATGTAAGATTCCCAATCTGTTGCTCATTTCCTTTAGCTGAGCTTCTTGTCGATAAGGCTGTAGAATTAAAGTATATTGGAGGAACTTACAGTGGCTTGACCAAACCCACTCCCTTCATCTGTCTTGTGCTTAAAATGCTTCAAATTCAACCGGACAAAGATATCGTCATTGAGTTCATTAAACAAGAAGATTACAAGTACGCTAGAGCACTAGGTGCTTTCTACTTACGCCTTGTTGGTGATTCAGTTGAAATTTACAAGTATCTGGAAGCTCTATATAATGACTTTCGCAAACTCAAGCAGCAAGATACCACCGGAAGTAAGATGCCTTATTTTCTATTGTCTATCAATTTTAGAGTTCTCTATAATTCGAATGGACGAGTTTATCGATCAGTTGCTAAATGAGGAACGAGCTTGTGATGTAATTCTTCCCCGTCTTCAAAAACGGTCCGTCTTGGAAGATTCAAATCTCCTTGAGCCACGTCAATCTATACTGGATGAGGATCTTGAAGATATCAACTTGAATGAGGCGCTTGAGGACGAGCAGCAGGAGAGTGATGATGGAAAGGATAGAAAAGAACACAAGAGGACCAAGCATCGTGATACAAATGACAGTGACAGCGAAGAGAGAAGGCGGAGGAGACATCGGCATCGTGAAGACTCTCCTTATCGCCCGCATGATCGCAACGAACGTGACCGCGAGCGAGATCGCGATAGACGAAGGGATCGAGATGAGAGAGATAGAGACAGAGATAGGAGGCGGTCAGTTGGCGTATATTTTCTTGTATCTTCTTTTTAGCAACTGGTCTTCTATGACATAAAAATTAGTGCCATGTTTGGGGGATTTTAGGAAATATGTTAAGAAATTATTTATTTCTTGGTAGCATTTAGCCTCATTTGTCTGTAATTGCTAGATTCAATTTTACAAAATTACTGACCAAAGCTCCATTTTTATTAAGTTTTTTACAAAGCTTATGATATATATGAGTTATGACTAAATGAAAATTTTATTTAGATTTATAACTTATCTTGGCTTATTCAATTAAGTTTTCTATTACAGTTAACTTAATTTGACTTCCTTATTATCAGCTTAATTTGATTTAATTAATGCTCAAGCATTCAACAACACAAGCCTTGCTGAATTTGACACTGCAAATCAGGTTTGTGCTGAGAATGTTCCTTGCTGAATTAGGTATATAGTTGATTTCCTACTCTCCCCTTTTTTATTTGTCTGGTTACCCGCTTGCTTCCGATCAACTCTTTCGGTCCTGGTGTGTTGCTTATCCAACAGCATTAAGTCGTTAGTTGATTTCTGTAAGTAGCGTTTAAAGTGTTTATAATCCTGTTGTCGAATTCCCATTTCTATTCATGACCATGGAATTCTTATTGATGGTTCAATCTTCTTGCAAGACTGGAGATTATTTCTCTGTGTTTCGAGCTTAAATAGCCTTTGATCGAGTTTATTTCTTTGAATTTGATAGGAAATGTATTTCGTGTTATCTTGTGCAGGGAAATTTTGTTTCGAACATTAGTTTGGCAACGCATGCATACCTCCATTGTTTATCATTTGCTAGTTATTGAGAACATTCCTTTGACTGTATGTAGTCCTTTTTCTCTACCTCACCATGCATAGGTGAGAATAGGATTTTTGGTCAATTATTCTACCAAATTAATTCTCAAACCCCAACAAGAAGTCACTTTCAAAACTCGAAGCAGGAATTAGTCATGAAATCTATCCAAATAAATAACTTACGGCCAGTCACTTCTGTGGACTTCTGTTTGAGTTAGTGGGTCTTGAATTAATGCCATCAGAAATTGACGAACCACTGATGTGGCTTTTCAAGAATTCCTCAAATTTATTCCATTTGGTTAGGTTGTCTTGTAAATGTGTAATGTCAGACTAAATTAAGAGAATTATGGAAGAAAAATGGTCTTCTTGCTCATCATGCATTCCCCAAGTTTCATTATTGGTTTCTTGTGTGATTGTAGCCGAAGTCGCAGTCGCAGTTGTTCCCGAGATCACCGAAGAGACGGCTCGGACTCAGGTATGCTGATTTCTTTGGTCTCTTTCTCTCTCTCCGCTTATTTTCTCTCCCCTTCATACTTTCTTTTTTTGAAGATCGCAGACGAAAGGATCGTGATCGTGGACATCGATACTAAATGGTGGATACTGATGTATATTATTGTGTATATTTCAATTGAATATTTGTATTTTCACCGTGTCTTCAATAGTGATTGATTAAATCTCTAGAAATTCCTTAATTGGAAGGGGGGGGGGATAATATGAATTATTTCTTTTAATTTCATTTTGGTCGAAATCATATATTTATTGTAATGCGCTTCAGCCTGTAGCGGTTTAGCCACCTCAATAACCTCGGAAATCTCTCTAACACTTTCTTCCCACTCGAAAGTCCCTGTGAATTAGCACGGAATACGTTTATTCGGTACGTATATTGATGGCGAAGTGTATGTTTGGGCCAAGTGATTAGTTATCAGATAACTAAGCACAATTCGTGTGGACATTAATAGCTAAATATTTCTGAGTAATATTCTATAGCAGGATTCCTATTTGGTCATTGATGGAGTGTCCCACAAGGCCGTTTCTAGAGTGGCTGCAACTCCCATTAGGGTTATTGAACGTTATTGTTGAGTGGGCGTTAATGCTGAATGCCTCGTGTCTCGTCTCCATGGCACACTTGTTTGATGTTAAAATAGGTGAAGTGGAGGTGCGAATTGCTACACTAGTAAAGCCTGACTGACTCAGAAATCTGTGGCAGATTCTCCTACATCTAGCTAGACTCCCATGACTAGCTAAGCCATAGCTCAGCCCTAAAGGAGGCAGGCGTACAGAAGTGATTGCCAAAGCCTGACTTCAAACACTCAGCATAGAAACAGTCTCATTGGCATCGTGATTTTCTCTTCGCATCCCTCAATTCACTCGGTAATTTCTTCCTGCTCGAATGATCACCATCACCTTACGTCCGCTGCCCTTATCCACAATATACTCACCAGAATAAACGTGTTCCGTGCTATACGTCTGTTTCCTTTATAGCTGGGCTACGGCTTAGCTAGTTCTGGGAGTCTAGCTAGATGAAGGAAATTTGCCACAGAGATTTCTGAGTCAGTCAGGCTTTACTAGTGTAGCAATCTGCTACAGAGGTACTATAATGGTAATCTGATTGATTTCGCATGTCTATCATGCATTCATTGTTGCAGCATTGTACATTTGCTTTTATGATGAATATTCTCGTTTGGATAGAACCTATGCTTAATTATACTTGGTTAGAAACAATCTTGGAAAGGGCCTTTATTCTTGCCAGATGAATTACTCTAAAACCAGAGTACTCATATGGTGGTAATCTAAATTTCTAGTATGAGTCTCCATTAGTTTCGAGTTCCAAGATGGCTAGCCACCTTCGTTGTGACTAATTATTGGGTCATCGTATTCCTAATTTATGAGTCTTATAAAAGCTCAATGGTTGGGTCAAAATAGCTTGAATAGGGGGACGTATCTACGTTTAATGTAGGAGAGGCTAAAAAACATGAGCATGTATTCGTGGATTTTTTTGAACTATAATGGAGTGATTATAAAATTGAACCTTAAATATGAGCCAAAATCGAATAATTCTTATTTTTCGATCATAGCATTTATCAAGATATCATACTGGCATTAGCATAATTATTAAACTAAGGCGCTTTCGGAACAAATCCGCAGTTTATGTGCTTCCTATTTGGGAAATATTTCACTGAAAAACACTCGAATAAGACTGACAATGACAATTAGATTCCGTAACCGTTTTATGCACTATATTAATCTCCCGTGAATTCGTATTATTCCTTGAACTCTTGTCATGGCCATTTGTATAAAATAATCCATTAGTAAGAAGGGTAAGTTCGCCATTAAGTGAATAATTTAAACACCAATTCTATTTATCGAAATTTTCGAGCTAATAAGCGAAATTTGTACTTTTCATATCCTCTAGCCCAATTGTGCGGATTAGCCTCATGCCGCACATACAATGTTCTGTTGTTGAGCATTAGGTTTGGTCTTTCTCAGTTTGCATTTAATGTTCAATAATATATAGGAGTTTTCATATAATCAGAATCTCTATTCAAATATTATCGTATATTTAAATATCTTCTTTATGCTAACTTATATTGAAGTATGTGTGAATCATTTCACATTAATATTTATTTTGCAATGCATTGTTGGTTGCCTTGTATGGGTCTTACTATTTGCGAAGACTGGTAATGGTTAATTTCAGTAGTTACACTGCTTGTCAAAGTGAAATTGCTGAGCAAATACCACTTTTACTTCATAGGTAGATATGAACAACTTTTCCGGTTTTATTTTACGTTATATGATACGTTGCCAGAAGCCCTACGGCTGTATTCGAAAGGTCGGCTCTGTGTCTGAGCAAAATGAAAAGAAGCTAAATCCTAGGCATTTTCTCCTTTTGGTATTTTTTTTTCATTACTCTCTACTGTGATTAGTTTTGTCCCATTACGGCGTTCAGTCTCGGTTATTGGCAAATTAAAAGGCGACGTTGGAAACTTGAACTTCTTGAAAAGATCAATTCAATTTTGCCATCACCTCCAATCCCTCTACCAAAAGAGTTTGTGTTCTTTTCTATCTTTGATTGAGATTCATTCAGCGCAAAGGCAAGTACTGATCTACCCGAATTTCAGCCAGTTATTGTGACTGGTCGTTTTGATCATTCTCGAGAAGTAATTGTCGGCCCACGGGCCATCATTACTGATGAAATTCCAGCTAATGCATATGGGAGCGCTTGGGGATCAAGACCGATACCAGGTCGTCCTCAAAAACAATCTAATCTTAGTGATTTCGGAGCCCCAACCCCAAATGGCTACTGTGTTATAACTCCCTTTGAGCTTAAAGACAGACCGGGGTATGTGGCCTTTTACTTATTTGTTTCCTTTACAAAGCACGTACATTCTAGTCAACCGTGGTTTCGTACCTACGATGATGAGGGACCCCAAAACTCGTCCTGATGGTCAAATTAAGGGAGAAGTCACGATCACTGGTTGTATCCGCTACAACGAGAAGGTATTGTCTTTCCTTCTTTCTGTTATCTTTTTTAGCCTCCTCCATTTACCCCTGATCCTAAACTATTGCATAACACCGGAGAAGGTCAACAACCTCACAGGCAATACTTTTCGCGGGAAGTCCTTCGAATTTCTCAGGCACTCAACACCCTTCCTATTTTCATTGATGCTAATTATGGTGAGATGACGCTACTTATTTCTTATTTAAGTAGTTGAGTATGTTTAATTTTTATTACTCTTTTTCAGAATCGACAGTTAAAGGTGGACCCATAGGAGGGCAGACCAGGGTTGTGCTTCACAATCACCACACTGAGTACATCATCACGTGGTAAGAACTTAGTATAACTCAAATGTTACCAATTATATTCTCGGAGTTGCTATGATGGCTGTTTTCTAACCCTCAGGTTCTCTTTGGGCGCTATAACAATGGGAATGTGGATGTATTGGCTCTTTTTCTGAACAAACGCTGTTTTATTTCAAATACTGTGATTAATCGAATCATAAGAGTTAGTTTTAAGGAAGGGGGCCGATTTGGAAATACGTGAGCTCCAGATCTCCTTCCCTTTATTTAATCTGTACTAAGCTTGTTTATATTAAAAATTTGATAGATTTTTATTCCCTTTTGCACATGGCACAAATGGGGAAACAAAGAAAATAATTCAAAGTCAAGGTCATCTTATTCCAATTTTTATAAATAGGCGGGTTGTACCTAGTTACAGGACACTATCATTAAAGACGATTCAGTACTATTTGGTTTTGTAAGATTAGAACCTTTCGATTGGTTGAGGATTTAGGATATCTGTAAATATGAACTGATTGTGGGAATCGCTCATTTGATTAGTATTCTCAATTAAAATGTCTGAGGTCTTGCATGACTTGGTGAATCAAATGACGCTGAGTAGAGAAAGTCACTAAAGCCATTGAATAAATGATTCCCGTCAGGAATTTTTTTACTTATGTTCATTCACCTCCACGTGGTGCACCCTGGGCAACGTATACTCACGATAGACTTACCTCCAGGTGGTGCACCCTGGACAACGTATACTCAAACGGCACGTGGTGCACCCTGGGCAACGTATACTCATACGGCTCCACGTGGTGCACCCTGGGCAACGTTTACTCATACGGCTCCACGTGGTGCACCCTGGGCAACGTATACTCATAAGGCACACGTGGTGCACCCTGGGCAACGTATACTCATACGGCAAGTCTCTTTCCTGGCAGTTGACTTCAAACTACCATGACCCCTTACTGGCAGTTGCTTTCTGACTTCAAACTACCATCACCCCACCGTAAACCGGCAGTTGACTTCTGACTTCAAACTACTATGGTCCGACTATAGTTGACTTCTGACTTCAAACTATCATCACCCCACTGCACTGGCATATTCGACTACTTTCACAGTACTCATCCCACCTTTGTTTCCACCTTATCTACCTTCGTCTTTGATACACTCTTCTGTTCCCCCCCCCCAACTACCTTCGTCTTTGATACACTCTTCTGTCCCCTGCACTGGTATATTCGACTACTTTCACAGTACTCATCCCACCTTTGTTTCCACCTTATCTACCTTCGTCTTTGATACACTCTTCTGTTCCCCCCCCCCAAACCTTCGTCTTTGATACACTCTTCTGTCTCCCCCCCCCCTTTTGAATTTTTTGATGTTCCTTCCCCTCTGTGAAGACTGAAGTCAACTAAAGGCCTACTGATAGCAATCAAAACGCCTGCCATTTGATCTAATAATAATGATCTGGTATAGTCCACACATTACTTGAAACAATTTCACCCTTGAGCTATTTTATCATTAGTTGAAATAATTTTCAATATCAGAATCCCTTTTAAGGCAAGGAAATGCAGATTAAGATAATTTAAATTTCAGCACCAAAAGAGTCTCTCTGCATCATTTCGCTTTACATCTCGGGTTATTCGCTACTTTCTTAAAGCCAATTCACTGCTTATTATAATCGCGAAAAGTATTTACATCCTGAATTCCCTGAAGTATTGAACCACTTCCTGTTCAAATGAACTCTGTTAGTTGAGCGTTTGACAAATTAAGATCTTCGGTGTTGACATTTTAGCATGATTTTTTCCTTTCCAGCGCCTTAAATAGGGCAGGTATTCTAATAATGATAATAAGTATCTAATCATGTAAATAACCCCGTTATCACTTTAATTTCTTAATTTAACTAGTTGTACATTAATTTGTAAGCGAGATTCATGTAAAAATAGGAAGAGAGTGAAGTATTAATTTATATGGGATGGCAGGCGTCTTGATGGCGACCATCAGCCCTTTAGTTGACTTCAAGCTTCATAGATTGGAGGAGGAACATCAAAGTGAAAATAAGTCGAGAGGAGAGGGGGGAACAGAGGTGTTTCAAAGACAAAGGTAGAAAAAAGGTGAGATGAGTACTGTGGAAGAAGTCGATTATAACATACAGTGGGGTGTTGGTAGTTTTAAGTCAGAAGTCAACTGCCGGTTAATAGACTACGTGGAGGTAAGTCTTTCGCACACTCCAGAGAGTGAAGTATGGGCAACATCAAATTGATCCCGAGGCGATTCAAAGCTCTTAGTCACGCCACGAGCTCACTATTGAGTGGGAATTACTCCGCTCTTCCCAGCCTCCAGGCTAACATTTTCTTCTCACTTTGTATTTGAAATGCTGGCAATGGGATACAAAAATGAAGTTGTTTCAATTGAAAGCCCTAGTCCATTTAGGAAGGCAATTTTAAACCTCACCATGGGCAGTGAGTACTACTATAGAGTCTCCATAGTAATAGACTCAATACATCCCTCCATCAAATATTAATCTAACTCTTCCACTGCGTGTCCGTAGATGAGAGTCGAATTCATGACATCTGGTGGTGAAGACGTTCCAGCTTATCCAACTGTGTCGTCGACTCACATTGTGTTTGCCTTCGGTGACAATTTTAGCAGCCAAATTTCAATCGACTCTTAATGGTGAGGAAAATCAGAGAGCCACTCACAACGGGGCCTGACATTTGAAATTTTGACTACTGTTGTAAGAAAACTTTTGCAAATTCAGCTCTAATAAATAAAAACAGGAATGAGCAAATTTAATTAGCCATGTTTTGAATTAACTCCCTTTTCCATTCTGAGAAAAAGTCACCACTAGGTACCTCCCACGTCTCTAATTGAAGCATGTAGAGGATCGATGGGCCAATTAAGCCTGAGTAATCCCTATGGCAAAATCTCCATCCCCCCCCCCCCCACCCAGGTAGGAAAAGTACACCAGGATTCTCTAAGCTACCTCAAAGTTATAGCGAAAATACATATGCGACTTGAAAAAAATTTATTTGGGATTTGTGTTACAGATAGGGAGATTAGTCATTGGAATCAAATAAAGGGAGTGTTAAACACTGCAGGGTCTATCAATTGGTGGCTAACTGGGACGCCTCTGCACGCACGGCCGCACCTTTGAGTCTGAGTGTGTATGAGATTTCTTTGTTCAATCATGTCAGTGTTGTGCACTCCATTTTACTTCCCCCTCCTCAGAACGTAGTCAGGATACTAAAAAGGTAGACCAAATGCTCGACAATTGGTCAGTGTGTTGGGCCAGTCGAGAGGGGAAGCCGAACCCTCAACCAAAACAAATGCTGGAATACTTGAGTTGAAAAATGGAAGATCGAAAGATTGTTCACCGTCCTTGGAGAATGGAAGCAGGAGTATTAGACGAGTGTGCTCTAACGGTGAGTCGAAGTGGCGGGAAGGCTTCGGACATCTTCTCTTTGCGAAAGCAATCCGTTCTAGGACAGGGAGATAAGTATCTGCGTGTTCTGATGTGTGCAATCTGTGCAAATGTGATCGCAGCCACAACGCGATCGACAAAAACGGTGATGCTGACTCTTCTGACTGAATCCTCGCCCCCAAAACACCAGTCGCCGAAGTTCCACTCCATCCGCCAGATTTTCGGAGTAGGGGGTTCTTATCTGAGAGTAGCGATAAAAAAGGCAGTTACTCATTCTCTTATTTCGACCAAATCCCCGCCTCCATTCGTGTTGGATGCCCTCTCCGATTTTCTGTCTTTTTGTTGGTCCCGTAAACTAACATCGCTCAATGGTGGTAATGGAAGCCGACGTCGTTAAATGAGCTCTTCTCAAAGACAGAACACCTTTCCAAAGGCCCAGGGTTGTGCCAATGGAAGTTGTAGTACCATTCAAGAAGAATGTCTTCGTCCAGCTCACCTCCCGCACG